GAGCGAGCTGGTCAACAGTTGGTGACGATGACCAGAGAGGAGATGGAGAGGATGCTTGGTAGTGCGATCGCAGCGGGGGCAGTGCAACAAGCCACGCACCACACTTCGCATGCCGCTACTACACCGACCACGGTGGTGGGTGCGCATTAGCAGAACACGGAGGAGGACGCATCAAGCTTTAGAGGAGATGAAGCCTCGAGGGATCAAGTCTTGGAAAGGATGACCGAGCATTTGCGCCAGCTTCAGGCCAGGGTTGATGGTATACTAGTGGGACGTACTCGCGAATACCCCTTATAAAGGCAAATTTTGGTGGCACCACTACTAACCAACTTTTAGGAGACAAACTTAACGTATGATGGTTCGGCCGACCCGTCGAGGCGCGTGGGATCATTTCCAGAACATGACTATGTTACACGCGTATTCTGATGCAGTAAGTTGCAGGGTGATCCTCTTGACCTTGAGGGGAGGAGCGTTGGATTGGTTTCACCAACTACCCCCAGGATCAGTGAGGATTTCGATGATTTTTTGGAGATATTGTTGAATCAATATGCCAGTGCGGTGGCACAAGAGAAAACACATTTGACTCTGATGGCGATGACGCAAGAGGAAGGCGAGTCATTGAGGAAGTACATGGCACGTTACAAACAAGCATGTGTGGACATACCATCGGCCTTTGACGAGGTCAAGGCGGGTGGATTGATAAGGAGTCTTCGAGCTGGCCCATGTCAGAGTTCTTTGGCTAAACACCAGCTCGAACGTATGACGAAGTTCTGAAGAGGTGTAAAAAGTATGTCAACTTGGAGAAAATGGAGGAGGAGTTTGCTAAGTTGGAACAGCTGGCTCGACCTAAGCGGAAGAAGGAAATGGGTGACTCACCGAGGAGAGACAAGCGACACATGCTAGACATGGATCGAGAGGATAGATGAAAAGATCGACCTATAGTGAGTAGTCATAGGGTTCACAAGTACACGCCGCTGAAAACCCAGAAGTTAATCAAGGTGTTAGAAACAATCCAGAATAAGTTGGATGGTCGGGAAGTAACATGGCCGAAGTCGAGGATTGAGGGACCCAATCAGCCCAAGTCAGGCCAATATTGCAGATTTCATAATGATTATAGTCATACTACAGAAAACTGGAGGCATTTGAAGGATGAGATTGAGTGCTTGATTCGAGCAGGACACTTGAAGGAGTTTGTACTTCACGACAGGCTGAAAAGAAAGAGAAGATGAGGTGTAGAGAAGATTTAGTCGAAAGGAGTGATAAGAATGATGACATGAATGTTGAAAGTTGAGGTGGTCGAGGAGGTCGAAGGGGAGAAGGAAACAAACGACAAAGAGGAGAGGGAGGCGAAATGAGAAGGAGGAAGCAGCCCCAGGCACTATTTACATGATCACTCGGCCCAACAGATGAGAATTCCAATAATGCCAAAAGGGAGCATGTTCAAGCAGTTAAAAAGAAGAGAGAGAGAGAGAGAGAGAGAGAGAGAGAGAGAAAGAGAGAGGCAGACAGACAGAGAGAGAGAGAGAGAGAGAGAGTGGGGATCGCAGCCCAAATGTCGGTAATCAGCTTTCGAGCTGCGGATGCTGAAGGTGTACTAGTACCACACGACGATGCCCTGGTCATTATGACGGAGGTCGCAGGATTTGATATTAAGTGTGTTCTTAGACATATGTAGCTCGGTGGACGTGATGTTTTACGACTGTTTTAAACAGCTCAATCCATATTTGAATTTGGAGTTGAAGAAGGTCGTGACCTTGTATGAATTTAATGGGAGCGAGGTGGTTCCCATGTGGGATATCTCTCTACCAGTTGCCTTGGGGTCGGGGAGAACTTGTAAGGTCAGGATTGTGAGGTTTGTTGTGGTTAATCGTCTCATAATATTATTATGGTGATGACCAGTTTGAATACTTTTTAGGATGTAGTGCGAACCTACCATATGACGATCAAATATGCAGTTGGCAGGAGTGTTGGGGAAATTGTGGGTGATCAATTTATTTCGAGGAGCTGCTACCAGACCACGGTAAGCAACAATCGACAGATTGCTAGGAGGCAGGCCCATCCAAAAGAAGAAGTACCGGATAGACCAGGTGGGTCTAGGTCGAAGGAGGTAAGATCTAGACTCGACAAGGGAAAAGAAAAAGGTCGACATCCAACCCGGGGGATGGGATTGAAAAAATACAAATGGTTGGGGGGTGTGACGATAGAAAGTTTAGAATTGAAAAGGATTTGGGCGAGCATCTGATACCGAGGTTGATAAGGCTGATTAGAGAGCCGCTGAGAGCCGCAATATGAGTACTCTCACTTTGTTCCGTTGTGGGTTTAAACTTTAAACAATGGTCCTTTTGGACAAAGAAGTTCGATATCTATTTTTCGATGTCAAATTGCCGGTCCCCATCCTATGGTGCGTTCGAGGTTAATTACTTGATATTTCTCATTCATACATACATTTTGAGCTCAATCGGCCCCATTATTGTTAAAATAATAAAAAAAAAAAATTTTTAAAAAATCAATAATTGCTTGCCCTTTTATCAGTTGATACTCTGTACCACACTTAGTATTGACACTCTCACCTACAAACAAACAAACATAAGCCAAAAGAGAATGAAATAAAAACAGAGTAAAAAAACAAAAGAAAAGGAAAAGGTTTTTGGTACATAGTTTTATTGTGGACATCTTAGTCTTAGGGGCATTTTATATATATATATATATATATATATATATATATATATATATATATTTTTCAAACAACATTGGTTATAAATGCTCTACTATGGTTGGGTTTACATTGTAATTAAAGAGAGACAACACAAATCTTATCCCACAATTTTCACACCTGCGTGTGTTAATTGAGAACTAAGGCAGAGTCGGTTAAGGGCCGTTTTTTATTCATTTTTTACCCATCGGGCCGAGACGGTTGCGGGCCGGTTCCCGTTTTCTACTCATAGTTGCTTTTTTATTTATTTTTTTCAAAATCGGGCGATTCAATGAACTGTCGGACAGGTTGATCCGGCCCATAATAATTACCGGGCCGGTTACAGGCCCAACAATTGAGGCCTGCAGACTCAGCGGGCCGCGTCGGGCCGGGCCGTGACCGGCAGTTGGCCATGTCTACTGAATCTTATATATTGCTCAATGACAAATTATTCACTTTCATTGAAATCGTCAGTGGCCAGTGGGCACTAATTTATCGAAATGACTTAAAAATATAAAATAATAATAAAAAAAAAAAAAAAAAAAACATATTGTATATTATTTTATATAAATGATCATGCACCGACACGCTGACTTTTCAAAAGCAAATTTTAAATGCTGCTAACTCGTACGGCACTAATTGGAATAGTTATACATACTGCAGTAATCATTTTGTCGAGATTTGTAATCGTTAGATCATCATGTAACCGTTCTGTCGGGATTTGTAACTATTAGATCGTCATATAACCGTTATGGATAGTTAATTTAACGGTTACAAATTCCAACAGAATAATTCCGTAACGTGACAGCAAAATCTTCCCAATTTATATATTCATCCACTTGATAAAGTGGCTTACCGTGACAAGAAGCATGCAATTGGATTTTCTGTCATTAGCACTTGTCCATCAATTTGAACCAAATATTATAACTAAATAAATGCTTGCTTGCAGTGTGAATGAAAAATGAAACCAGCAAAAACTTTAGCTACGAGGATTTATTCATTTATTGGGATAATTCATATCATATTTTTCACATTCAGTTCCATCAAGAATTGACTTAGTTTGAATGAAGCCATTTTTTCACATTCAGATCATGATTGAGAATTGAATGAAGCCATTCAAAATTATCCGAAAACCGGTCCAGTAAGAGATCGTTTTCAGATTCGTTTAATGTGATCATGAAAAGCTCGACAAACATTTTTTCGAAAAAAAAAAATAAATAAATAAATAAATAAACTTCCACCGAATAGAAGCATATGAAAGGCTTTCATAAAATTTCTCGTAAGATATAGCGTAAGTCGATATTTTTCAATCTAAATTCTAATTTTTATACGAGTAATTGTAAAAATTTTAGGAAATATATATATATATATGTTTTTTACACAGTAATTTTTATATATTATTGTAAAATGTTTTCGATAATCCAAAATGTAAATCATAGCATACCTGTTATTTTAATATTGCACTAACAAAATATAATATTAATTGGACTTATTAAATAGTCCAAACGGCCTGAATTACCTAAAAACATCCTGTAATGCCACTAATCGTCGCCTTTAATGGCCCCCACCGACATCACGTTAGCAGCATTAGATTCCTTAATTTGGTTTAATTTAACAATCCAAAGTCTTAATCAAAGTTTAGTACAAGAATTATCAATAATAAAATGCAAGTGGACTTAATCGATGATGGCTGATGGCCCAAGTCAACACACACACACACACACACACACAAAGCCTAACAAAACAATGGGAAATGCTATAGTTCCGTTACGGTACCATCCTGTCGGGTGTTTTAACCGTTAGATTATCTATCTTATCTAACTACATGTGAATTTAATGGTTAAAACATCCGACGAGATGGTACCGTAACGGAACCGTAGCATTCCCAAAACAACAAGTTGCAATGCAATTATTTCCAAGATTAACCAATAATTTTGCAGTTCAACCACCGACCAAATTAATGGACGAAAAGAGAGAAAATAAAGAAGCAAAAGGGCTCCATCTATTTCTAACTTAATATTAACATGCTAAATTATCATTAATCCCAAATTAATTATACAGTGCAAGTTGACAGAACTATTTTGAGCCGTCCAGTATCATTGAAGTATTTATAAACTGTGAACCAAAGTGCGATTCAATTGTCAAAACGAAAACAACTGAAATAGCATGCCAGAAATTTATTAGCATATCTTAATATTCAGGTTTCATTCAAGGGAATATACATTTAAATTAAAAAAGAAAAAGAAAAAGATAGTCGAGCTCGTTCAAATTTTTGCGACCATGTTGTATTGCATCTTACATTCGAACCTCACGCAGCTCCGATCGTTCGTTTGATTTGCAGGGCAGCTCTCACGACATTACCTCTGGTTATAATCCCCACCTTCGATTTTTTTTTTTTTTTTTCAATAAAAGATGTGAATAAACGTCACCCGAAACAATAGACGAAAGAAAGTTCATGCGCGCAAAAAATAAATAAAAGGAAATGCGTATCTGAAGAGTGAAGAATGAAATGGCACTCACCAGCTTGCCATCGTCATTCACGACTGGAAGGCGGCGGTATTTTGTCTCGAGAAGCAACCTGAGAATTAACGACAAAACGTGTGAAATTCAAACTTTTGTGCAACAACAACAATTTAATGATAAACGTCAGCAATGGAGGAGAAAAGGTTAAGTTGGTTACTTAGCAGCATCCTCGAGATTGGTAGATTCGCGAACAACCATAGGAGCTGGCGTCATCACATCACCTACCACTTGACCGTTGGTTTTGCTCAGCAACTTTTGTATCTCGTTGAACGTCTGTGCACACAACAAGTTATTTTCAGAAACTAGAGACAATAAAATTTGCAAGGAGAACCCCACAAATTCTTTTTACTTTTTTATGTTGAATCTAAATGTTTGTATGTAAAATTGTAATGCACTCTCCTTTATTGAGTCTCTCTAGAATTCTCTCAAGGAAACCTTACAACCTTAATCATGTACGTTTGTTTAATATTTGCATTAAAACCTCAAGAAAGTCCGGTGTTAGAGGAGCCCTAAGCAAATACACTGGACGGATTTTATTATTATAATTGATATTAGCTACTAATTCCGCAGCTATCACTCTAAGAGCATGGAGCAACTCTAGAGTGTCTTGTCCATTCCCTCGATCTGATTTGAAGGGATTTGGTGCATAAATAATAAAGTAATTACACTGAACCTGTAAAATATGAGTTTTCTCACTTTTCTTACTAATCTTGTAGTTTTAATTGCATATAGGGTTCATGCATGTGTGCACACATTAACAGAATGTGGAAGCAGCTAATAATTGATGAGTATCTAAGTCAGGGGTACGAGAGCATGGCAGTGAAGATAGACCACTGAGTGACCTCAAGTCACCGTCATCACTAAGGAGAACGAAGTCATAAGGGGTTTTGTTCAATTTCACAATGAGGTCTTGGTAGGCCTTTTTGATTTGGGGGGCTTACGCTGTTCAGGCTTCTTATGAATCCACTCGGAGGAGAAGTCAAATGTCCCGGGGGGAGGTCGCACGAGAAGTACTTAGATTGTCATTCACGAATGCCAGAAGGAAGATTGTCAAGAAAGTTCGCATTATCGTGGCGATAAAGGTAGAATGAGCCCTTTTGGAGCTTCATCTAAAAAAAAGTTAGGGTCAAAGGAGTGAAAGATGTAGCTGATGATGCAGTAGCCTGCCATAAAGCGAATGATAGTGGGAGCGAAGTGATTTAAAGGGACTCTTTAGAGCTGGGCTAGCTCTAAGAGATCATTTTTTAGAGGAAAAGTGAGACCGACATCACATGCGCGTGGTCCGCAAAAAATATGTAGAAGCCCTCGGGGGGCTTGGGAAAAGAATCCCTAGAGGGAGCTCACACTCATGCCTAAGCTATTCAAGGTCTGTATCCGACCAGGCAATTAGAGAAATAGGTCTAACGGCCTGAACCAGTTGGGAGAAAGAGCAGCCTGAACTCCTTCAGCAACGGTCACCTCCGCAGGACAGTGCGAAGCTAAAGGGACAGCAGCAAGAGGAACGGTTTGGAGGATTGAGAAGTTATTGATCATGGTATTTAGTCGGATTTAGTCGGTTTTGCGAAGAGGAGGTCGAAGAGCTTAATGGCATCGCTAAAAGTTGTTTTTGAATTACGAAAGAGAGAAGGAGACGGGCTAAGTAATCTCCCGAGAAGGCTTGAAAATAAGATTGAAGCTTCAGAAAAAAGAAAAAAAAAGTAAGAGGTCTAGAACATATCCATTAGTCTCTGACTCAAGCAGAAAAGTATCTACGAAACCATCGAAATTAAAAGAATGGTTTTGAAGATTCAAGTTAAATAAAAGCGTAAGGGAGACAATTCCGCGCGAAAAGGAAATGAAGAGTGAAGAAATGATAAACGATGTAAGGGCATCCCATGGAGGATTTTATAAAGTTGAGGAGAGAATCGATCAGTTGGAGGGCAACACACATCAAGGGCCCAGATTTACGTGCAGAATATGATACGACGTGCGCATGTGGGCGTGGGACGTGCCGAAGGATTGAGATTTGAGCATGTAAAGTCTCTCTTTTGGCGCGCATTAAATGCAAAAGTAGAACAGATACAGATAGAAAGTTACATTTCAGTACAAGTCCCGGCAGCTCGTCCTGAAATGGGGAGGGGAGGCTAGATGATGAGCATTCAGAATAGCTCGACAGACCGACTTGAGCGGTTAGGTCCGATATGCTGATCCAGGAGAGCTTCAGCCTGTCTAGAGATAAGTAATCAAGTCAAGGAGCTCGTATTCAAGCTCAAGGTACTGACCGACCTGAAGAAGACAACCTGGAGGCCTTGACCTGTAGGAGCTCGGAAAGAAAGTCAACCTCAAGGTACTATCGTAAGACCTGAGGTCAAGGAAGACCTCAGGAAGAGGTCAGGCTCGACCTCGCTAAGTCGCAGCAAGTTAAGTGGTCGTGGTTACGGCCTGGGAACTTATGGTAAATACCAGGGGAAAGAATCTTAATAAGAGAGAAAGTATCACTTGTTCAGGAGACTTGTTCACATAGAGACGGTAAGTTAGAAAATGTGATCTGGTGGGATCTCTTTCCTAACAATGACTTCCTTGAAGTTTTCTACAAAAATTGGGGGCTGACGTGCAATGAAAAGATGTTTAGTGGCCAAATGCGAAAA